AAAAGAGGATCGGCGCCATTTTTTTTCGACAGTGAGCACTGCTTGCTGTGGCTGATCTACAGGATCCTATTTTTTATTTAATTTTATAATATCTGAAATGATCCAGTGTGATAGTGTGTGGGTTTTATGTTGTGTCATGTGTGTTAAAGAGAAATAAATTTAATTTACATTTTAATTGAAAATGAGTAATGACTAATGAGTTAATGTGTGTGAAAGAAAATATGTTTTAATTACTATAAAAATTATGTATAAATAATTATAAAATAAAAAATGAAAAACCGGTTGGACCCCAGTTGAACCGGTCCAACCGTGACCCAGTAGCTTGTCCGGGTCGATAGCCGGTCCGATTTTCAAAATATTGTTTCAAACCTATTTTGAATTATTTATTTATATATATTATATGGGGTTTATATTTAATATATATTAGCATATGAATACTAACATTAACATTAGCATAAATATTAGGATTATTAATCAGGGGTGAGCCAGTCAGATCCATCAACCCTGCTAATACACATGATAACATTTCAAAAGTGGGAAAAATAATTATTTAAATACATAACAATAAAAAAATATTTTACACTATTATAATAATGTGTATTAGTGATATAAGATGCTTACAAAAATTGTAATGAATTATTTTGGGTTCAATTAGATAATTTTGAGTTATGGGGATTTATATACTTGTATAAATAGTTAGTCCATTTAAAGAAAAAGCCCAAATAAGGTGCTGGAGTAAGCCCAAGACAATATTAAATAATTTGTTAGTTGCGTCTGCCACGCCAGAGAAGAGGCGTTTACAGTTTTCCCCTCTGCAATACCTCATTAATTCTCTCTATAAATGAATGAACGCTTATATAATAATTAAATTAAATTAAATTAAATAATAATCCTCTCTATGAACAGAATCCATAATAAATAAATATAAATAAACACACAGAAGAAATTAGAAAAATAAAATAGAAAATGAAAATGGGTGGCGGAGCAGGCGTTTCCGACGACAATACCGCGGCCTCCGCCGTCACGGAATTCAGCCACGCGGTATGGCGGCGGTACCAGCACATCCTGGACAAATCGACGCCGCTGGTGCTGTACCGGTGGATCTTCCTAGCGGCGATCGCTTTGATATACGCGCTGCGCGTGTACATAGTGCAGGGTTTCTACATAATCACGTACGGGCTGGGAATCTACATCCTGCAGCTGCTGATAGCGTTTCTCTCGCCGCAGGTGGACCCCGAGATCCAGGAGCTGACCGACGGCCCTGCCCTCCCCACCCGCGGCTCTGAGGAGTTCCGCCCCTTCGTCCGCCGCCTCCCTGAGTTTAAGTTCTGGTCAGTTCAAATCTCTTTCGCGATCTATCTATTTCCCCCCAAGTGTCCCATGGTTCTATGTAATACTCTCTCTCTCTCTCTCTAAAACAAGTTACATAAACTAATCCAGCCTTAGCGTATTATGAATTGAAAGCACCTCAATTTTTTTAATCATGTATGTAGTTAATTTTATCTGAGATTTAGTGAATCACATATGAGAACATTGTCATCAGCAGTGCATCCTGATCACTAATAGGTGAAAAGCAACTAGCATCCTTTAACTCTCTGTATGTGCGCGTGTGTCGGTGAGGTGGGGGTGGGGTAATGAATTCGAGGCTTTGACTTGAAATTTCCAAGTATTTCAAATAGATTGGGTTTTAATAAGAGATGTAGGATTGAATCATTTCAGTATGTGGTTATTTGATAAGATTTGAGAGAATTTTATGTGTTTCTTCATAACATGAAGCTTGATATTGGTTAGTGTTCTTGTCATCTGCTGGAACTTTACAAATGATTCTAAATAAATTCAGAACACTTGCATGGAATTTCGAGGTTGTCTTATTTTCTGACAGCGGTGTTACGTCATTTATTTATTTTATCTCATTAGTATTCTCATTCAATATGTGATTACCTAAAATTTAACGACTGTGAGAAAATAATGATTTTGTAGAAAAAGAGACAGATTGAATGAAGAGGGGGAAAGATTTTCATGCCTTTGGATGACTCCTTTGTTGATGGTTTGAACTGGCATCTACTTTTAAATGGGTATTATAAAAAATAGCTATCCAATAAATGTGTTCAACCAGAAAGAAGGCAATTATACTTGATTCGTGATCACTGAAACTGTGTTGGGTAAAGAAGTTATTTTAAGATTTTAATTCATCCATCATTTAGATCATATTCCGACTTTGATTGAGTTTATCTGGATCTAGCATAGCCCTTTTGAAATCTGAGACCCGTGTCTAGATATGGGTGAAACGAGGAGTGTATGAATGACTGTTTCCATATGACTAGCAACTGGTTTCTGCTCGGCAATAGATATACATAATTTTCACAAACCGGCTTCATTCTGACTTATTAGTTCTCAGTGGCAGAAATGTATAGGCCACTTGTCGAATGATATGGTGCATAACCTGTTGTATAATAGCCATTTGTGCTCATCTGGATCCAGTCTTGGGTTGAATCATTCATTTAAAAACATATGTTTGGGCTGGATGTTGAGACAGAGGAACACGACTCTTATTAAATCGGAACATTTTCACATATTGTTAGTGACTAGTATATTTCTTTTTCCTGATTGAAGTTCCATTTGATGTCTGGAATTTGTACAAAGTTTTCCTCAAGACGTTACACGGTTCAAATCTGCCTTGAAGAAAGTTCTGCATTTCTAACTGAAAGTCTGAGCTGAGAACTATGTAGGAAGTTGCTTGCGTTGAGTATTTTGTAATTCATGTGACCAAAGTAATATATTTTTAGAAACAGTTACACTTACCTTATTAAACGGCTTATACTCCTCTCTGTCTGTTATTGGCTGTGGAAATAACCTTCAAATTCCAAATTTATTTATGTACATGTATGTATCTCTTTTTGGATTTTAATAGAGATTTTATTTTTTTCGTTTTTATCATCCTCAGTTTCTAATCTTGATGTACGGAATGGTTGGATTAACCATTTGGTACTCTCGATTGCAGGCATTCGCTCGCAAAGGCCTTTTGCTTCGCCCTTGTGTTAACATTCTTCAGTGCCTTTGACGTACCTGTATTTTGGCCAATTCTGCTATTCTATTGGTTGGTTCTGTTCATTTCGACAATGAAGAGGCAAATAATGCATATGGTTAAATATAAATATGTCCCTTTCTCATTCGGGAAGCAGGTATTTATTCTTATAATTTTCCTTTATACAGCCTTTTTCTTCATCATATTTTACTATTAAAAAAATCTCAATTTTTTTTTTATCAGCGTTACAATGGAAAGAAGGCAGCTCCAAGCGACGAAGCAAACACTTCAAGGCCTTAAATGTTTCAGGTAGATTAGGGCCTTAAAATTCTGAAGATACCCTTATGTTTAGTGTTGAATTTGATTCTACCGTATTCTTTTAGCATTCCACGTTTAGGCACGATCCATTAAATCTGTAGTTCACTAGTAACTATTTTCCAAGATTTGTTTTCACGTGTTTTAAGTTCGCAGCCATCTTATCTCCTACAAGAGGTAACATATTTAAATACTACCACAAATTTTATTTTCTGCTAAATTGATCAAAATTTATGGTTACTGCTCTGTCTGTCGAATTTCTGTGGTTTGTTGAAATATCTTAATGTATGATAATATAGATTATGGTCCCGTTTTTAATGCGAAAGAAAGAGAAATGAATTCGCTCCTGTTACGATCGTAGTTGGCTGTGCTGCCTGCAGGATTTCAGACAAGTGCCTTTCACCCTAAATATCAGAAACCTAATCTCATATGGCAGCTTGTTTCTTCAGCCTTTGTGGGCTTGTGCCGAACGAAGCCAGCATAGGGCCAGGGGGCCATGGCCCCCCCACTGCTTATCGAAAACTTAGTACCAATAGGAGTTCCTCATTAAAATGCCTTCAATCCTAAAAGATAAGGGAAAGTAAGACAAGTTATTATTGGGAGGCATTCAATTTCCCTGTTGAGAGAGGACCACCATTTAGTGGTACAGTGTTAGTGACCTGGAATCTTGTTCATCTTTTGTTTAAATAATCTTAATTTTTTTTATTTTTTTTTTGGGTAGGGATAAAATTCGATTTCGATTTCGATTTTTTTTTTTTTTTTAATTTCCGATGAATGTTGGTTGAACCTAACTCTAATTGGAATTAAAAAAAAAATAATCTGGTCCACAAAATATTATCATTTGTATGAATTAAGGGTGCCAAGATTTGTACCAGAAAGTTAGCTCAATTTGTTTTAGGTAATGAATATTAATTGGTTGGCGTTACAAGTGAGACAAGCTACACAGGAACATCCTGTTGGTTGTTTCTTCATCACTTTTTGTTCAGTCTTAATTGCTTGATAAAAATAAAACAAAATAATATTACATAAAACAGAAAAAGAAATGTCAAGCTCAGTTATTAAGATACATAATTGTCTTGATCTTAAGTTGCATTCTTCCATTGATTCTAAAAAGATTCGAAATCAGTCCTTAAATTTTTATGCTCAAATGGGAATTAAAACAAAATAATTTTGAGACCAAGTTCTTGAGTGAGGGAGAACAAATGTCATTATCAAACTTCTATAGATACATCAATTTATCTCTATATCATAAAATAATGGTGCAGATTTAAATTTCCAATTATTCAAGAATTGCATTAACATGTGGTGGAGTTTAGTATATATATCTTACTCTTTGTGAAATTATTGACTCCAAATAGTTTTCCATCAAAGCATAATATATAGCAAGCAACACCTTTTTCTTTTGGCTGTTTTCCCTTTAATATAACACTACAAATTGGAGAACACCTTTTTTTTCTATCTTTTTTTTTTTTTTTTTTTCTCTCTTGCATCATTGAACAATGGAAGGTGGGATTCCTATGATAAACTGTTTATTACAGCACACACTTAGAAATTTATGTGCATGCTCTGATTCTTCCTCCACCACTTCAAAATGGGCATACGCAGTCTTTTGGAGAATCCTACCAAGAAATTATCCTCCTCCAAAGTAAGCACCTTTTTCCACTGCCCTTTAAATTTCTCAAGTTAAATAAATCAATGCCACTTTAAAAAAAAAAAAAAGGAATCTTTTTTTGGCCATTCTTGATTTATTGAAGTGATTTTCTTGATTTTTTATTGATTTTTGCAGGTGGGATAATGGAGGAGGCCTTCTTGATCGAGCTAAAGGAAACAAAAGGAACTGGTAAATTAATTAATTAATTAATTAATTTTCTCCAAACATTTGACTACTTTAAAAAAATTATGTCTCATTTTAAGGTTAATTTTTTTTTCAGGATTCTTGTATGGGAAGATGGGTTTTGTGATTTCTGGGAGTGTGAAAGAGGTGGGAAGAGAAGATTTGGTGCTGATACTTTCTTCAAGATGACACACGAGGTTTATAATTTTGGAGAAGGGTATATGTATATTATATAAAAACTCTTTTGATTTATTTAATTGATACAAAAAAAATTAATTAATTAAACTAATTTTTAGGTGGTATATTTTCTAATTTAATGGATGGTTTGTTTGTCTTTGTAGATTGGTGGGTAAAGTTGCATCAGATAACACACATAAATGGGTGTTTAGAGATAGCCCCATTGAGAATGATCTTTCTTCATGGAATGTATCCATTGATCATGTAAGAAAATGTTTGTTTAGGGGAAAGAAATAAATAAACAAATATATATTTTTTAATAATAAATTTCTTGATTATTTTTCATGTTAACAGCAGCCAAGAGCATGGGAAGCCCAGTTCAGCTCTGGCATTGAGGTAAAATAAAAATAATGTTACTCGATTATTTTCGGTTTCGTTCTATTACATCAAATTTTCAGACAAGTTTCGTTATACGGCAGACTATAGCGATTATATCGGTGAGAGAAGGTGCCATCCAACTTGGCTCATTCAACAAGGTGTGTCTGTGTATATATATGTGTGGTTGCCAAATGTGTTCATATATATATATATATATATATATATATATATATATATATATATATATATATATATATATATATATATATATATATATGTATGATCTGCAAAAAGATTGAGTGAGTGATGATCTAGGTTGTTGAAGACGTAAACACGGTGTTAAGCATACGAAGAAAATTCAGCTATCTGCAGAGCGTACCTGGACTATACCCTATGCAGAGGCCATACGCACCAATCGAAAATCGAAACACTTTCGAAGACAACAATTGTCAAAAACTTTTACAATCCAACGAACGTTCGTATAGTGGAATTATTGATGATAAGCACCACATGGTCGGATCAAAAAGGCAAAACTACGATCAAATCGACGATTTATTGCCTGCTAAATCCTTATACTTAGGGTTCAATAGCCCACAAAACGGCAATAGTGAAGCGTTACCCTTGTGGTCTATTCCACCCCCTTTTCCCTCAATGCCTTGCAATAACCTCAGCGCAATTTTTTCGAAGATTCCGTCCGCTTTGATGCCGTACGATGATGCTCTTGAAGGTGGGTTGGTCAATAGTCAAAATTTGATTCCGGACGTCGATGTTAAGGTGGAGGCGCCAGGTGTACGAGAGGATGGAGTTGATGAAGATACAAGATCCTTAAATCAGACAATAAGATTGGTTTAGGGTTTTTCTAAGTCTTGATTTATCAGAGTACTCATTTTCTATCCTGTAATAAATATTTGCTAAGATTGCTTTTTTTCTTTATTATTATTATTTATTTTTTATTGACTAGAAATTGGTGAAAGATGTACACTTAAGGTTACATGTAATAATTGATAGATTGCAATAAACAAGAAGCAAAAGCAGAAATAACACTGAAATAAAAATCAGAAACATAAATAAAGATCAAATTTTTTTCAAAGCCAGAAAAGAAGGGCCTTCTTTAAATGTATGAATCATCAAATACAGATACAGACACAGAAATCTGGAGATTGAGCTGCACCGATCGATGGCAGCCACTAATCATCGTAAACGAAAAAAGAGAGAGACTATACAATAAATAGACAATGTAGAAACAATTATCATCATCTGTTATTCTTGTTCGGATCCGAACCTTGGAAATATAAAGACAGAAAAACCATGTACAAATCAGACCCCATTAATTCCCACTTCCTCGAATGTTCTCTTCAGTCTGAAATCTTTCCTTTTACATCCAGATTTCAAACTTTTTTTTTTCCTCAAGAACTGCTCTTCTTGCCTTGCTTGCCGAAAGCACCGATCGGTTTTGCAAGAATGCTCTTCATCGCCTGAACTCCAAGCGGGTTATTCTTGCTCTGCGTAATTAAGAAACATTTATCAGATTCATAATCAAGAAACCAAAAACAAAAAAAGGATAATTTAATAAGATAAATTACTCACAATCGAGCAAGTTCCAGCACGGATGTTACAGACAGGGTACTCATGGGGGCAGCAGCTGTAGTGATCTTCGCAGCAAGTGGCACCCTCGAGCGGGCAGCACCCCCATGCGAAGCAGTATTTTCCGTACTCGTACACACAGCAGCATGTGGTGCTCTCTGGGCATTCGTAGTAGTCGTCACAGACGGAAGGTGGGGCCACCGGTGGAGAAGGAGGAGACGGGCCGGGCTTTGGAGGGTTTGCACCCGTTTTTGTTGGGTAGGATGGCTCGATAGCTATGCCACACAGACCGTCTTTTGAAGCCACGTTTCGCTCCATTCTTAAATAGCCCTTCTCTCCCCAACTCACTCCCCACGAGTTCCTCACTATCCAATAGTCCTTTCCCTTTTCGGTGCCGTAGCCAACCACACTCACACCATGGTCCAATTCGACCCCACATTTTCCGGAGAATATTCCCTGAAGAGATTTTTTTTAAATGAGGAGTAATTTCAAAAAAAAATTAGAAATTTTCCACAATTAATTTCATCACTGTTTTCATTAGGAACTAAACATATTAGACATTTTCAAATTCACATGGTTCTTCATTTGGTTTAGCATTTTCATTTTTCCTCAATTCAAAATTTCATAAACCAAACAGAGCCCAAGAGAATTGTTGTAGATGGTGCATGATAACTAACTCCTAACATCCTTTGTCAAAGTACTATGATGTAATAACGTCGTTTTTGTTAAAAACTCACCGAGTTATAAAGTTGAAAGTCCCGCCCACCGGCTTCAACAGCCACGCTAATGGGTTGGCTAGCAGCCGCCTTCTGCAGTGCCTTTTCGTCGCTCACAGGCACATCCTCATAGCCATCGATCGAGACAACTTTGGCATTTTTCTGCATTATCAATTATTTTAAATAATAATAATATATATATAAAAAAACAATTAAATGTCAGCTTGAAATTCAACAGGAAATAGTCTATTAAGAAATCAAGAATCGGAAAAAAAAAAGGGCCGAACCCTGGTTTGGTCGCATTTTGCATCACGGCCTTTGTAAGGATAATCTTGATCGGAATCGATGCCGCCATTCTTGATGATGAACTGGAAAGCATAGTCCATAAGGCCGCCATTGCAGCCTTGGTTGTATGACCTGTCGCAATCGACCAGCTCTTGCTCTGAAAGCGAGATCAATTCTCCGGTCGCGATTTGGTTTATACCTTCCACTGCAGTTATTGTAGAGAATGCCCAGCAACTCCCTTCAAATAATTCAAATCATTTCAATCAAAACTTTCGTCATTATCAAGATTCTTGAATATATACATACCATCAGAAAATAAATTAATAAATAAAAATTAAAAAAAGATTCTTGAATATGGACTAGAGTTAAAACACACAATTGAGTAAAATATATAATAATTCAATATTAGATATTATCAATACAGCTAACCAAATTAAAGGGCAAGGCCCACAAAGGAATGACTTTTATGCATGATAATTGGTGATATGTAGGCACCACCATATACAATGAAAAGATTCTAAAAAGATTATCTTTTTTTGGATAGATTATCTAATCAACAAATGAAAATACAAATAAACCTCTATAAATTAATTTATAGAGTCGGAACTAGCAAAATCCTATTAGTTTAACGAAATATTAAATTATCGAACTAATAATTCAGTATGTTTACATCGAGTCGAAACCAGAAGAAATTATTATTTAAGCAAAGTTATTATTTTGTCGAGATTCTACTGTATAATTTTTCACATCAACCAGATCTATGCACTAAGTTCAATAGTGTATATTCATACCAGGTTCTTGTCCAGAAAAACTAAAGGAAAGTATCCATTTTTATCCTACAAAACACACTAACAAATATTTAAAATTAAATTGTTTTTAAAGAAAATTAGTTAAGAGTAATCAATTTATTAAAATACCACTAATTTTCCTACCAAACACACTGATTAAGGCAAACCACCAATCGTTTACCATCAATATCCACACACACTCTATAATTAAGAAATTAAATGTCAGTCATCAATTATCTGTGTATGGGTAGACTGACTAGATCCAAATTAAATACATGAACAAACATTATTATATTTAAAAAAATAATTCAGAGTTATGGAGTTTAAATATATATTAATGACTTATAAATTAATTAATTAATTAATTAAATATGTGTTCATGAATTAAAAAAAAAAAGGAAGAAGAAAAAATAGTTACCGCAGCTGCCTTGATCTTTGATCGGAACGACGGCGCCTTTCTCCCTCCAGTCGATGGAATCCGGCAAGGCGTCGCCGACTTTAGGCGCGTACCGATCACTTTTCCGGCCGGTCAACCGGCGTTTGCCGTCGGGTCTGGAGCCGAGGAACGTTTTCCGGTACTCGTCGTTGGTCAAATCGGCGAAGCGGTTGAGGCCGAGCTTGTAGGTACGGTTTTCGATGGCGTTCTGCTCGTCGATGTACCTCAAATTATCCTTGAAAATCTCGAGCCTCTTCTCCTTTTCGCCGACGGCGTTGTAGGACTTGCCGTGCTCCGCCATCCACGACTCGTGCATAGAGACCACCTCGTCGTGGGACCGGAGGCCCGCCGGCACGGCGAGGTTGTTCTTCCGGTCGTAGGATATGATCGACATGTCGGAAGCCCATGCTTGAGCGAGAAACAGAGAGATGTAGAGAGAGAAAGTTAACAGAGACATCGTCGACGACGACGGAGATTTTGTTGCAGCCATGGCTTTTTTTTCTTGGGACTGTGTTGTGTGTATTTCTTTTGGGTGAGAAATGATCTGAAAACTGTGGTGGAGGACTTCAATTATATAAAAAAAAATATCCTGATTTTTTTTAATATAATATATATATAAAAAAAAATATTTTAGGGGGGAATAAAATGAATTTAATATTTACAGTATGTAATTAAATAGAGAAATATGAAAAAAGGGGGTAAAACCAATTAGAGAAGGTAACAGCTGGTAGGTGACGAGGATGTGGATGAGATGTGATAGGTGAGAATGGAAAGTAGCCACGTGACAAAAATAATTCAAAATTGGAGATGATGACCAACCAAGAATTGAATAGTGTTCTATTTTTTCCCAAAGTTTGGGCAAATTGCAAATAATTAGGGGGGTTTGTAATAAGGCTAAAATAGTATTTTATTAATGCTTTTTTTTCTTTTCAATTTTGCCCTTATAACTTTTAAATTCTCTAAAATATAAAATTCCTAATAAATTAAATAATTACAACAAAAAAACAGGGGTACAATTACGAAACCTCCCGTCAGAGCCGGTCCTGAGAATTTGGGGGCCCTAAGCGGAGTTTAGCATTATCGTTTTGATTTTTTTAAGTAATATCTTATAAATTATATTGTTATTGGTACACATTTTTAACAAATATCTTATTTAATAAACAAACTTTTTTTCTCTTTTATTGAAAATAACAATATGAATTTGAAATATATTAAATACGAACCTTAATGTTGTTGGCATTGTAAAAACATTTGATGACATAATGATATATGCATCTATTTGATGCATAAACAACACATTATGGGGAGGAAAAAAGACAATCGTTGATCAAAATTATTAGAGGTACATATATTGATCATTATATTGTTCGTCTCAACCGATAACAGTTCTTTTCAATCTTTTTGTGATATGGATACTTGCTTTAAGATTTAATTATAATCTTAAAAAACTTGGCATATACATTTGGATATTAATAACATACTATAAGTAATTATATAATTAATTTATAAACAATATTATCTACAAAACATAATAATTAAATTGGTCTTTCTTTATATTTTTTGAATATTTGAGATTATAAAATACTCCATTAACATATAGTTTAAAATAACATCTAATAAAATATTTAAGGACTAAAATATGCAATATAACTAATTATTGGGGCCATATAGTGGTTTATGAAAATAATTGTGGGGACCCCTTGTGGGGTGGTGCCCTAAGCCAAGGTTTCCCTGGCTTACCCCAAGGCCGGCTCTGCCTCCAGTGAACTTAGGCTAAATAAAGAAAAACTTCCCCACGTATTCGTAATGACCAAAAAAAGCTTGATGTTTGTTTCCGTCTTACACCAATCTCTTACGGTGTGACTTTTCACGATTTTTTTTTTAATTTCAGGGAATAGATTTTACACAATTTAAATAATTTCTTTTATTTCTCACCTATTTAACAAAATGTATAATAAATAGTACACATTTTCTGTTAAAAAACTCGATCAGTTAATCAGAAGGGATTTTGGTTATTACGGGTAGATATGGGTGTTTTTCGTTATTTAGCCTAAGTTTAGGGATTTTTTATAATTTCCCCAAAAAATAGAGAGCATATGAATTCGTTGAATAGTAAAGTGTTGGTGTTGCCCGTAAACTACAACAGGCTAATCATGTGTGATAAAGTCGATCTAACGACCGTTGGTAAGAAATTTAAAACTTGAATCAATTAACACCAGTTCACTTGCTCCAACTATTCGATTTTAGTCGATGTGGGATGTGAGATATTCAATTGATTTGATTCTATGGTTGGGCCAATTGGACTTTTTGTTAGCATTAATTTGAATTATTTGAATGCATAAGCAATAAATGAAAGATATGTAGAGGAATTTAGTAGGATGAAATAAACGTGGCAATTTATATGTCGTTCGGTGTATGT